TCTCCACTTTCTCCACTTTGTCCTTCAGCACCGCCATGCCCCTCGCAGAAAGGGTGTGCCCCACGAACTCCAGCTGCTCAAACCCAATAAAGACCTTCTTGGGTTTGAGTTTCAACTTGAACTCCCGGGAGCGGTCCAGAAATGCGCGCAAATCCCGAGTGATGCTGTCCTCCCCCGTGTGTCCAATGCCCCCATCGTCCACAAACGTCCGCGTTCTTTCCAACCCACCATATGCCCTTGCTACCAGGCGGCTATAACGCGGGGGGGCATTTCGAAGCCCAAACGGCAGCACCGTCCATGCATAAATACCGAACGGTGTCAGAAAGGCTGTAAGGGGGATGGATTCCGCATCGAGTCCCACGGCATAATACCCATTGAACCCGTCTACAGTCGTGTAGAGCGGGTACCCGGACAGATCTTCCACGACTTCATCAATCCGGGGGAGGGGGAAGCGGTCGGGGACAGTCGCTTGGTTTAAGGCGACGTACGTACAGCAAAATCGCATGTCACCCCCTTTCTTTGGTGGGAATGTCACAGAGGATAGCCATTCACAATCCATTTCCCACTTCACTATCAGTCCAGCACTTTCCAAGCTTTCCAGCTGCTTCTCCATGAATTCTAGTTCTTTTGGGGCAAACCTCCGCTGAGCACCGCAATACACAGGTGCAGCACCCTCTTTCAGTTGGATGTGAAATGTCATGGCAGGCGTTCGTTCCAAGTCCAAGTACGAGACGGCAAAACAGTCTTTGTACTGCACTAGCAAGTCGCGCACTTCCCTCACCACCGTTGGCGATAACGTGGGGCCAAAATGGATCTCCGCCAGCCACTCATTTTCCAGGTCGTCCATGATGGTGGGGAAACCTGCCAATCGGGCGGGGGCCGTGCAGTCCTCTTCGAAAAACGTGTCGCTGTCACTTTCCAAATCAAACTGCGCCAGGAGCCCTTGAAGGACGCCGTCAGCATCACCTTCATCACTGCTGGACGTTTCTGACGTATCACTCGTCACTTCCCTCAATTCGCGCACAGCAGCGGTACTGGGCAGGACCTCCAATTGCCGGCCCCGCTGGCGCACGATCACCCTCCCTGAGCCCAGGGTATACGTACGGGCCTTGAAGTCAGCAGTACTCGCGGTGTTACTTAACCAGTCTTGCCCAAGGAGCACGTCGTATGCTCCCTTCGCATCGACGTGCCTTCCCGTCAGTTCCACGACCACCCCTTCCACCGACACCTTAACAGGCCCCCTCAACGCATGTACCGGCTCGCGCTGTCCGTTTGCTAACTCGATATGAGGCAGGCGTACCGCTGACGCCCTCAGACCCATCTTATCGGCGCACGCCTTGTCAATCAGCGAGTGAGAGGACCCCGGGTCCAAGATTACGCGCTTGACGCTCCGCCCATTCAAAGTACATCGGGCGTGCACCCCACCCGATTCTTGCGCTACGCGCCCCGCCTCCGTGATCTCGCCATCCCCCACTTCCATCGGTTCACCCTTCTCAACGACCTCCTGTTCTGCCTCCTGTACTTTAGCCTTACGCCTTTTGGTGCCGAGTTGGTGCCGAATCGCTAGCACCAACTGCGTGTAGACCTCGCGTTTCGAGATACCGCGCATCATACAGACCGGTATTTTGATCATGTCCCCTACTAAGTCCCGCCAGTCATCCTTCAGTACTGGCTTACGGCGCGGTTTCCTCGGAGCGTCCCCCTTTTTCCTTTTGCGTCCATCCGCCATCCGCGCGACAGGGTTACTCTCTCCATCACTCCAAGCGGGCGAGCAGCAGCGATCGACCTCCCCCTCTGAATCATCCCCATCAGCGTTTACGAATACGTCAGATTCCCCGTATGCCAGACGCCCATACCTGGCCGGTGCCCGGTCTGCATCCGCGCCTCCGCGCGCCCCTGGCGCCTCCCACCGGACCGCGCGGCGCGGCGTTCCGCGGGTGAGGACAATCCCACTGCCCATGGCCAAGCTCGCCGCAGTTCCAGCACTCGCGCGCACGCCACCCCGCCGGCGGCGGCCTCCTCGCGCCCGCTCCGCCACGTGCATCGCTGGGCCGCGCCGCGCCTCGCGGCATCCCGCGACCCCCGGCCGGATGCACGTCCCCAACCCGCTCGTCGGCATTCGCACCTCCCGCCAATCGGTCCCCCGAGCCGCGCCGGTCGCCGCCCCGCTTGGTTGCGCGCGCTTGCAGCGCCCAATCTCCAATCGCTTGCAAGAGATCCTCCCTCACATCCCCAGTCCCGTGCTTTTCATGGCCGGTATCCAACACCCCCACGTCGCGGGCAGCATTTTCCTTACGCAAGGCTGTTCGCGAAGCATCTTCCAAGCTTTTATATCCAACGAACCGAGCGGCCTCTCGCAGATCAGTGCGCAGACCCCCAACCCACGCCCTATACCACATGCTCTCGGTCGCTTCGGCCGATCGAGACACCAATTCGCGGAACCGGCCAAGGTACTCCTTGACGGATTCTTTCCCACCTTGCCGGAGACTCTTCAGAGAGGCACTGATTCGCTCCTCTAAGTCGTCCTCAGCGAACCGCTCGATGAACTTTTCCTTCACCTCCTCCCATTCCCGCTCTCCGTCCTGCATCCATCGAGCTAAAGACCGCGCCCATCGCGCGGCCTCTCCTTCCACGCAAACTGTCAGCAACGCAATCCGCTGCGTGTCTTCGAAGATGGCGGACGCAACACATACTCCCTCAAAGTGGAGCATCCACCCTTCGGCATCTTCACCTCCCGCCTCCCCAGAAAATGGGCGGGGACGGATCTTCATGGCGCCCTCCTTCGGCGCTCCCCGGCGTGCCGCGTGCTCTCACTCCGCTTCCGCGCCCGTCCCGGCGATGGAACCAAAAACTGTCGGCCTTTGGGCGGCTCAATTGCGCAATGAGCCTTTGGGCTGCGGCGACCCCGTGGGTACGGGAGGCATTCACGACGGCCACGCGCGGGGAAGACAGGTCTGTCACTCACGATCCGAACCCATCGTTACAAATGAAGCGAGTGGTATTTATAGTACGATGGTGTGACAGTTCATGAGTTGCTGTCTCCAGAATGCCCACTCTGGCCACTTTCACGAGCTGGCCGGGTTCGTGTCCCTTTCACACACCGAATTTCTATTCCCGCCGCCCTGACCAACTATGATCCATTACCGACTAGCCCAGCAACTACCCGCGTACACTACCCACTCCCACACTCCCTCACTCCCACACTTCCTCAGCTCCTATTCCCGCCGCCATCCCCAACTATGATCCAATCCCAAAGCCGTCCCCGTTCGTTCACTATAGCCAATTCCCCTTAACTGGCTCCCCTATCATACGTACAACCCCACTCCCCACACGCTTACAGGACAATCAGAACGTCGGGATGTGAATGCTCATGCTTGCCGGGCCGTTTCTGCCCCTGGGCGGCAAGATGCCGTGCGGGGCGTTCGCAGCCCAGGTACCCTCGGGTACCTCGTACACCCGGCACTCGGGCCTTCAGCGATGTGTTAACGCGGGCACAGGGGCATTCGCAACCCCATAGCACTGGTCACCCAGTTCAAAACCACCCTCCGTCGATTGGACGATTGCCTGCTGACAGTCAATGCTACCAAGTAAAGTACTACGCTTCTTATTGGGAAACGCATAAAGTACTAACAATATTTTGATATCAGAATACCCTTAAAAATAATCAATATGTGGCACCAAATGATGTTCATTGTGTCGTAAATGGCTTCTATAGCCTTAAATGGGCTCCAGACCTTAGTGAGGCCAACAGTCAATAAGGCCGGTGAAATGGGGTTGTCACGACGCGGCCCTAAAGAGGCCACCCCACTGTAGCTTAGTTTGGCCATGCTGGGTTGGTGCGGCTCAGGGCTCACTTCAGAGAAACTCGCCACAATGGCAAATTTGCTTGAGAAAGGTTTACATCCAGCGGGACACATTTAACGCCGTTTCAGGGGAAAATGGTCAACTGAGTATCATGAGGTACCAAGCCATGTGCCACACTTTCCAGCAGTACTGTTATTTTCCAAAGCAGGCTGAGAACCGAATCTTACCTTGCACAAGCAACCTGCTATTCGAATGTACGGCAAACGAAGCACTTCAATATGGCCTGGGACTGCGTGGTGCTCGGAAGAACACGGGAAAACACCCACAACACTATTTATCGGATAACTGGGGCAACGTTCAGTACTTTGCAGTACTTGGTTGCACCCCATTTTCCTGATATTGTGTTCCACAACCGGCCCCAGGAACCCCATCGGCAGACAGCCGTTCACGCGACCAGCCATTCGCCCACAAAAATGCAAATCCCTCTTCTGAGGCTGTCAAGATCTATTGATCTCAACCAACACCGAAACGGTCAATTCCAACAAGTCAAGCATCAAGCTCCGCCACGCAACCTCATTAATTAAATTCATCAATACAATTGTCTCCAGCATTGAGACGAAGTCAGCCCCTCATGAGGCTGAACAGCGGCTTAAAATTGAACAGACGCCCAATGGGATGCATCCCATATGCGCAGCGACCTGAACCTTAGCTAATTAACCCACAGTGTGACCTACCCCTTGCTTTTCAACAGCGGAGTTTCAGGGCGGATGCATCCCGTATGCGCAGCGACCTGACCTAAACTAACTGATCCACAGTGCGACCTACCCTGCGATTTTCAACAAGGGATTTTCAGAGCGGATGCATCCCATGTGTGCAGCGACCTAAACCTAAACTTGCTGACCCACAGTGTGACCTACCCCGTGTCCTTCCACAAGGGACTCGCAGAGCGGCACCAGTTCTCACCCGCCCTAGCTCTGCGCCCTCAGGCGACCACTCTTGCGACAGAAAGACTGGAAGAGAAAAAGAAAGGAACCAAAACACGAAAAAAACACCACACCTTGCCCGCCCGGTCAAATTTCCACTGTTTTCTCGGCGCCCTCTGCCGGTGCGCTCATTCTTTTCTGGACCTGCACCCCCCCCTTTTGCCAAGGTCCCCGGCCCCGTGGGCCCGCGCGATGGCGGTCAAGTTCCTGCTGATGGTGAACAAGCAGGGGCAGACGCGCCTGGCCAAGTACTTTGACGATTTCTTGGCGGTGGAAGAGCGGCGCGTGCTGGAGGGCGAGATCGTGCGCAAATGCCTCGCGAGGAGCGACAAACAGGCGCGTTTTGCTCTTTGGTTCTGGCAAAGTGAGAAGGGGATCTTTGGCTTCAGCTGTTGCGATCCTGGCGTCAGGGACGCGTGCCCCGATGCAGGTCCAACGTCATGGCCCCAGCTTTGCCTCGGCTTTGGCTTCAGTTGTTGAAGAGAATGAATGGATCTGTTGCTTGAATGTGGGAAACAATGCGCTGGTCACGGCGCGCAGCTTGGCTGCGCTCAGATCGCTGGACAGTTGAATTGCGCAAGGCATGTACTGCAATACCATCAGGCGCTTTGGGACATGGAAGCTGTCTTGGCGAACATGTAGCAGGCCTCTAAACGACACCGTGCAGATCCTTCGATTCCATCGTTGAATTGTGAAAACGTTGGCCTTGCACCTGGCAGGTGCAGTTGTGCATGCGGCTGCACACAGAGTGTTCTGAATGTACCTCAACCCAAACTCATGGCACGACAAGCGTTTGTCCCCATGACACAGTGTATTGTTTGACTGGGAAAAAAGCAGAGATTCCCTCTGTCAGTGCCAAGTTGTTGACAAACGTGCACATGTGGCGTAAATTCTCCACAACTTATGGTGAAAAGTGACAGAACACAACCTTTGCGCCCGCAAGACGATAACAGGATTATGGCTCCACCCAGCATGTCGCGATCACGATCCACACAACTGCGAACGTTCAAATATTTGCACTCGTAGTATCTAGGCCCATGTGCAACAATGCTGTATCAGCCTTTCGGTTCAGTGCATCGAAAAAAGGCTGCCAACAATGGCATTGTGTGGCATTCTGTTTGTTTCTCCTTCCGCCAGTTTGGAAGATCAGTTCAGACTTGAGCATGCACGGCGTTAGTTTCTGTACTATCTGTGTGTAGCTATGTGCCTGGTATTACCTGCTGGTTATAAGGGCTGGGTTAAAGTGCTGTCAATTGTCAAATCAGAGGATTTGCACATGGAGCTGTTCTACTTGACGCTCAACAGTTTGTCCTTCCTCTGTTAGTGAGTCCACAGCGTGGTCATAGCTGAGAAGGTAGTCCCTTAGCAAGGCCACGGCAATGCTTACTGGCAACCAAAAAGCCTCAGAGAGCCTCAGAGAACAGCCCCATCTTCCGAAAGCCTGAAACCTTAAAGAGCTGCTACCATCGAAATGTCCACAACTTATCACTAATTCTCAAGGTTGCGGCTTCCAGGAGCAGTTGAAAACAATGCACAGCAGTATACACCTTGCTCTCCATAACAAAAGACTGCCTAAACATGGTTCTTAGACGTGGTTGAAGGTTGTCAATTGCTCCTTGTGCATTTGGCTGGCATGCCACAGTGTGGTCAGGTGTATTCCCTGACAGAGTGGAAACTTGCATCAGTGCCTCCTAAGCCCTTGAACTGGACAACTGGCTTTGTTGGTGCGATCGATGGCCCGATTTGTTCAAACACTCAGTTTTGCCGCAGCATTCAGCAAATTGTTGCAAAGAGCGAGTGTGGGTAAGGTGCGTACCAGGCAGTCATTTGCATGCTGGTTGATATGGATCATTTCCTTTCACTTGTCCAAAAGCGAATCTTGCACCTACAGGGTTATTTCAGGTGTGAGTCCATAAACAGAATGCCCAAGTCATGCATGCCATGAATGCCCAGGCCCACGTGTGCTCTGGACCACAGACGTCAGGAACATACAATGGGTCGTGCTGTGAGGCCATTGGTGACCTACTGATGTGGCACATGACCCGAAAGTACGTTGGTCCATCTAGGCTGCAGGGAATATCAATTAACTGAACATGCTACGTGAATGTAGCATTCATACAAAAGCATGCGTGCTCTAATTGCTTGGCCTCGTTGGGTCAAACCATCAGCCTTACAGCTTTTGTGCCTTGTCAAATGTTCAAAAGGTGCGCTTTGAGAGGTTTGCCAGCTTCTGGACGTTTCTGTGCAGAGCAAATGTGCACCAAGACGCATTACCATGGCCACAATCTTGGCTGACCAGTCCATCAAACCTAACTTCTTGATTGATGCCTTGACACACGCGTCAATAAAGTCCAAAGTATTTGTGATATTGTGGAGCTGAGCCCTTCTTGTATCGACAACAACAATGTTTGTTTCAAAGTGTCTTGGCCGCTTGCTGGGGTCTTGATGCTGCTCTCTCTATCCGGTTCAAACACATATGCAAAGTAAGTTGTTCAATCCATCCACCAATTCCATTTCCTTCCAAGCTGTGCTACTGAATCCGGTCACTGACTAGCTATCTGGAAACATCCAAGAAGGTAGCCAGCATCTTGTCAGGCTTTCGCGTTGCTGCAGTCTCGGCTGGTCATGTAAGCCTCGAACTTGCCCAGTGCTACTTTTTGTCACAGCCCGCCAAGCTTTCCGCTGTGACATTTAATGTAGCGAGTTTTGTTGCAATACTTGACAGAGCACCTCTGCTTTGTGCCAATCAGTGATGGTGGGTGCTGTCGACTGCAACCATATGCATTCTCAACAAAAGGTTGTCCCGGCGTGTCTCAAGGCTACTTGCACTGACTTTCTTTTGGTGTGCTTTTGAGCAGTGTTCTTTTGTGGAGCACCGCAACTACAAGGTGGTTTACCGGCGGTATGCTTCTCTCTTTCTGTTGGCCGGAGTAGATGGTGATGAGGTGAGGAGGCAAAAGTTTCCTGACAAATGCCTGTGAAGTTTGTTTGTGCCACTGCCATCGATAATCTGTTCAGCATCATACTGAAACAGAGTAGTTGCAGCTGCATCTGAGCAGCTTCAGTACCAAGAACAGTGCCTGCTTTTGTAATACTTCAATAAACAATTTTCATAATACTTCAATGAACAATACAACGCACAAGAATCCGTGGTGCCTCCTGGTAAATTTTCACAAACAGTGGCAGGACATCCTGGCTCCTTGTTATATATTGGAACACCCAAGAGCATTCACAGCAAGGAATATCATTCCCCAGATGTAGTCAGTGTGGCTCACCTCAAAGCAGAGAACACATGGAATGTACGGTAACCTGTAGGAGATGTAAGATGCAAAGAGGTACTTGTCCTTGTGCACACACTTTCCCAAAAGAGGTGACTGGGTTTTAGTCAGCATATGTGGTGATACTTTCATCGCAATGTCAGAATGGAGAGGGCCTTATCAAATGCACCTTCAAGGCATGCATCAGTCATTTTTGCCCTACAGCATTTTTTTCATTTTTTGCTCTGCAAGGCCGGACACGCGCCCGCGCTTTGCTCTACAACATGTCTCACAGAACTGCTCACAGCTGCTCAAAACCACTTGAAGCTGGAGAATTGCTTGGAACTATGCAATCACACTCGACGGCTCAGATGTTCTTATCAGCAATTATTTTCACTGAGGCTGCTCAGATCTATGGAGCTGCCCAGAACTGCAGTCGACTCAAAATGTTTATAGCACTAAGTAATAAGTGCTCAAGGGCTTCAAATTGCATTATGCTGCATCTTGATCCCCCATATTGAGTGAATCAACCCGACCCTTCTATAACCCCAACTTGTCTCCGCCCAGCCCCTTTCATCTGGGATCAAAGCAATGTTTCTGCAAATTCACCAACCCTTCTGACACACAGACGTTGGCAGCATGCTTGCTTGAAAGGTTGTTGAGGCGTCGTCTTTGTCCGAGAATGTTAGCGGCCTTGCAGGGAGTAATGCTGCATCAGGAGTGCTTTCTGTGGATAGTGGTGAAGTTGCGCAGTGAGGACAGTTTGTATTTGTGCATGCTGCAAACTGAATTTCTGGTTGTTCTGTGTGATCTCAGAATGAGCTGGCCGTCCTGGAGTTCATCCATTGCGTAGTGGAGATCCTGGATAAGCACTTCGCCCATGTCTGCGAGCTGGACATCATGTACAACTTGGACATTGTGAGTCAATCCACCATTTGTTCTGCCTTTCAATCGAACAAGCAGTCAGTAGAAGAGCCAGGCAAGATTGCATTGCAATCTGGACGTACTGTGTAATCGGACAAATCAAGTTAAGCGACCAACGCGTGTGCAGCCATGGTATGCCTGAACTTAATATCATGTGCGATGAAAATACAGCAGACCTGGAGACACAAGCCTACGTTGCCTACTGTCACGAATGAAGTTGTTGGCTCTTTGCTTATCAAGATGCGACGAACCGCCACAGCAGCATGCAATGTACCATGCTGGGAAGTGTAGAGAACTGTACTTGTTGTTGTGGCGAGACGTGGGGGGCGGAAGCATCGCTACCTACAACTAAACTGGACTGAACTGAACTAAATCAAGTTATCCTAAGGATAATTTGATAATCACTTAGTCAAGGCTTGACTAATTGATTTGGCTCTATGTGTACTGTGAACGTGCTTGCAAAATTATGCCCCATTGGTGTTAGTTCAGTGACTGTTACATTAACTCCACAACCCCAGTGGGGTTGCCCCACCTCCCTTATCGCTCTTCCAAGGCGTCTGTGGGTTGGGCATTTTGGACTAGGGCATGATGAGCATGGTCTCTGAAGAATGCAAATTGGCTTTGGACTTTACGTCCAGCAGAAATGTGTGAACTGGGCAGTCCTCTGCCATTGTTTGTTTGTGCGAATAGTTCCAATCGCTGCCTTCGCCACTTCAAAGACATTGCTTCGTCCACCGGACGAATGTAGCCTGATTGGACTTGCTGCCCTCTTACCCAACTGGATGCTAATCCATCTTATTAGTAACTATATGTAGTGTTTATGAGCGCATGAAATGTTTTTCTCACAGTTTCATAGAGACTTTCTGTCGACTTTCGATTGTGGCGCTGTAAAGGTACTGGCACTGGACGTAATTTTGATTCATGAATAAGCTGTGCTGGATCCCATGAGGTGTCTGTCCCCATCGTTTTTGGTGCACAATGCGAGCTCAGGCACACTTGGCAAATGATGCTTATTGGGAAGCCCAGATGTGTCATTTTGGGGCCAAAATTGGCCCCAGGGCTGAATATCAGCATGATTCGCAATTCCCAGAGTATCTAATAGTTACTTCCTCTGTCGGAAATAATGAAACAGTTTGTTGAGAGGCCGCAGTCGTATCGCGCAGTTCTTAATTTTCCTTTGAAAAGAGAACACAGCACCTTCTATGCACTTAGCTGATGCTGTCCGAAAATCATGGTAAACAAATGAGGTTTATGTATGTGGGAGCACTTTGAAGCAGGACAACTCCCGTCCAGAATTGGCCACAGTGCTCATTATAGCGACACCGGTTCCTTTCGCTCCAGGTGCACTACATCCTTGACGAGATGCTGATGAATGGGTGCGTCGTGGACATAAACCACCAAAATGTTTTGGCTCCCATCAAGTTGCTGGAAAGGGTGGCGAAGGACTCATGAGGGCGCGCACCATCGCTGCGCGCCCATGGCCGCCAGCCCATGGGTCGCGGCTTTGTGTGTGCTGTTCGGCAGCATCGCTCCTGAGCACCACGCAACAACCGCGAAGATGGCTGCTTTGATTTGGTTGTTGACAGACGGGCACCCGTGTTTGGATGCCGCCTGTTTTTGTGCAAGCTATTGCGTTCCTCTCGGGGAACGTTAATAGCGATGTGTCACAAGATGGAAAATAAACTACAGCGATCGGCGGTTCTCCCGCTGATGCAGAATGGCGCCAAAACGCTGCTGGGTTCGCGGTGTCCGGTTCGGTTTTTCTTACATGGTCTGTGCTGTGCGTGTGTGCTTGACACTGCTTCTGCCCGGGCCACTGTAATATTAGCATCCAAACGCCTGTGTCCGCTTCTTTCGAGATCTTTGGCCGGGAGTCCCAGACAACTTTCCACGCCCCGTCTTACGACCGTTTAACCCTACTTCGGGGTCCTAACGGGATCTTAATCCTATTAGGTCCTAATCCCTCGTTCTCAGGCCTTGACCCACAGGCCAGTACAAACCGCTCTCCATGGCGTCAGCAGGACGTCACCAGTGACTTCCATACAACAAGGCACTTTGAAGAAAGCGAGTCTGTCTTCAAAGATAGACAGATCCACACATCACAAGGGCCAGCTGTCCATTGTTGGCACCTCGAAAGCATGGTGGCGACACAACCCAGCCATAGCCCAAATAGTCCAGCTATTTGTGCAGCAAGGACGCAAACGCGGATCGGCGTCTTGGCCCATTTGTGCAGTGCATCTGCGATGCTGTCGACACAGAAAATGAAAGTCCTCGCACCTTGCAGTGATCGGTTGCAGGGGCATGACGCTAAGGATATGTTTTTGATGTGAAGTGTTTTGTTTTGGTCTATGTTTTAATGCAGCTGCTCTACCACAAGAGAAGATGGAAAATTTCCGTCATCCTGCTTTAGCAAGCCTGTTATAGGATGTGTTTCGGCCCGGGGAGGAGGTGGAAGGGGTGGCGGGGGTCATTGGCGTATGGCACAGCTGCCTTTCCGCCTCTCTGTACTGTTCATGACCCGCCCCACTATGTCAGTTTCTGAGTCTTTTCACGTGCTTCCACGTCCACATACAGAAAAGGTCTACACGCTTCCAGGACTCAGCGCATTCCATCTCAACATTGAATGATGGAATTTCCTCCTCATGACCACAAATCATCGTGCTTCACAGACCCTCGACCTGGAAGGAAACACCACGCTGCTGTCTCTGACTGACAGGGAACAGGCAACGACAACGCCAAAAATTTCATACAAAACAACTAAAAACTGAAAATCAATGAATCGAGAACCGAACCAATGAAACACTGATTATAGGCTACACCCCTGCCTTGTCACGTCAGAATTTCATGCTGCCGCTGATGAAACACAGATTGGCTGCCACATACCCAGTTGCGCCCACTGGCACAATGCAAACGCCCTTGCTGTTACGCTAGGTTGGGGGTGGGACTACGTCGGAGGCAAGCATGGCCACGGGCAGGTAGACACAGCTGATGGAACAGAGTTGCACAGAGATCGCGGACAGGCATGTCCCTTTACAATCACACAATCATCTGTCAATCATGGACCAGCCATGGCCACATCAGTGCACGTGTAATGCCGATGCAAACGAATTGCAGCACGGCTGGCCGGCCTCTTGGAGGGTGCCCAGTGGAGCAGTCACACAGTCGGTCGCCCCTTGTCTTCGCCATTGATGGCTCTGGCATGAACCCCATCGCTTGTTACATGAACTTTGTTTTTGTACTTAGTGATCAACTCGTGCGTTTTCCATGCATTCTGGCGGGCCAACCTGTCCGAAGACCGCCACCTAAATCGAACATTCCACCGGCCGTCCAAGCTATTCTGGCTTGGCCAATCCCCAACGAAATCCCTCGACCTTCCCCCGTCCATACTAGCCCCACAACTAATACCCATTCCTCCCAACTTTCCACCCGCAAACCTCTAGGCTAGCGTCCTGGACCCGTCCGCCCGCCGACGTTCCTTGGGTCACTACCCGCTGCCCATCTCCCTCGCTCGTCCCCCTGCAACCTCTACCGCTGCCCCCTCCAACTGCCCCACTAACTATAGCCCCCACTCTCATTCGTTCATAACCGTTCCCGCAATCATCTCATAGTGCTGTTGTGCTGTTGTGGGGAGTGGTGTTGTACGTATGATAAGGGAGCCAGTTAAGGTGAATTGGCTATAGTGAACGAACGGGGACAGCTTTGGGATTGGATCATAGTTGGGGATGGCGGCGGGAATAGGAGCTGAGGAAGTGTGGGAGTGAGGGAGAGTGGGAGTGGGTAGTGTACGCGGGTAGCTGCTGGGCTAGTAGGCAATGGATCATAGTTGGTCTGGGCGGCGGGAACAGAAACTTGGCATGAGAAAGGGACACGAACCCGGCCAGCCCGTGAAAGTGGCCAGAGTGAGGATTCTGGATACAGCAACTCTTGAACCGCAACATCATCAAGCTATAAATAACACTCACTCCATCTGTAAGAACGGGTTCCGTTCGTGTGCGACAGAGTTGTCCTTCCTCGCGTGACCGATTGTGAATGCCTCCCGTGCCCCTTGGGTCGCCGCAGCCCAAAGGCTCAGTGCCAATTTGAGCCGCCCGTTCGCGACACCGCCCTTCACCTCGACTGAACGATGTCCAAAACCGCCCAAAAACACGACATCGCTCCCGCGAACAGCATCCCGTGCACGGCCACCGTCTTCCAGTCCAGCCGCGGCAGCTCCCCGGGCCTGAACCTCGCCCTCGCGCTGTACTCCGCCGCCCACAGGACGTATGACGGCGCGCAAAGGCCCACCGCCACGCACACCATCACCATCACGTCCCTGCAGCACTCCTGGACCCCCGGCACCCCTCCCCCGGACCCCGTGCCCGTGAAGATGGCGTTGAGCCACCGCCACGCCGACACGAAGTACTGTCCCCCCCGCTCCGTTACCACGGCCTGGCTGCACGCCCTCGCCGGTACGCAAAAGCCCATCATGGCCACGGTGGGCGCCTGCACCATCAGGTGGTGCCTCGTGAACAGGGGCACCGCGAAGGTGTGGAACACCAGCCCTGCGGCCGACGTGTTCATCACCAGAAATCTCGCGAAGGAACGCGCCGAATCGACGGGGCCCCTGTACCACGCCACGGTGAGGAGCACCATGGGCGCGCTGCCCACCAGCACGCGGCAAGCGACCGCCATTCGGGTCCTTAATTCGGGCCTATCGTCCACGCCCATGGCGATCCAGAGCCAGTTCATGATCAGCGCCGTGATGATGACCGCGGCGTCCGGGGCGGCGGCCCATGACAGGCCGTCCTCGCGCAGGCGTGCCCACGCCAGGGCCGCGCACATCACCGCCACCAGCCTGCGCAGCATGCGGTCCAGGGGCCTGAACCTGACATCGCAGTAGGCCCGCTCGAATTCGGCCTCATCCTCGCGGCGCGGGAAGCGTAGAGCGCCGAAGGGCCTCGCGGCGAGCATCTCGGCCATGGCGCGGAGGTCAAGAGCAGAAATCACAACGCCTTGGAAGGGAAAGTTTCTCGAGTCCACTTTCAGAAGGGTCCTTGAGACGGTGGTCAAGGAGGTCGGTTGATTCGCAGCGAGGCCAGCCGCCCGGCCACGGGTGGCTAAAACATCCCCTTCGTCTGTCGCCTTCTGTGTCCGTTCTTGAAAGGGGCCTTGGGGCGGCGCCTCGGAAGAAGAAAATTCCTCTGAGTCCGCTAGTGAAAGGGGCCTTGAGGCGGCGCCCCGGAAGCTTGGCTGATCACGGCGAGGCCAGCCGCCCAGCCACGCCTGGCTCAAACATCCCCTTGTTCTGTCCGTCCCTTTCGCTGCTGGCCGCCTCGTTTTGTCTGGCGGTTGAAGAGCCTTGGCTGGCTCAGGCTATATATTGGACATCATTGCCCGCGGCTGACGCGGAAAATCACACGAGGGGTTAGTCATGTTGGGCAGTTGTGGGGTGTGCATTTAGTTTTCTGCCTTACCGGTCTCCTTCAACCCCCCCCGTGTTCCCCACACGACAATACATTACATGCACACAGTTTGGTGTCCTTCACCTTACTAAAACAAGACCCGATAGGCGACCCACTTGAACGTGCCCTCGCTTCGCATAGTACTCAATGCCACTCTGATGGTGACTCAACCCAGAATCAGCTCCCCTTTCCTCGTACTCAACTCCCTCTCCATCCCACAGCTAACCGAACTCACTCTATTAGGGTGGGCCGGGCGGGTGCGAAACAAGATAAAAGGGGGGCGCCAAGGGTCGCGCCTAAATAGCCGCTCCCACTTGCCGCCAAACTCCCCGCCAAACCCAAGGGCCAGCTTGACCGGTCCCCTTGGCTGCGTCCAAGGTATAAGGCTCAACCCAACTGCCCTTGGATCCGCCGAGCAGAACTGACCCTGAGTACAGGGGTGACAGAAACCAGCCTAGTGATGGCCCCTAAACTGGCCAAAGTCACGGAACGGCCCAGACTGGCCGATCCGCGCCCACCCATCGTCGTCCTAGGCAGAAACTCATTAACAGGATAGTTAATTATATTTCTGCCTTACCGGTCTCCTTCAACCCCCCCCGTGTTCCCCACACGACAATACATTACATGCACACAGTTTGGTGTCCTTCACCTTACTAAAACAAGACCCGATAGGCGACCCACTTGAACGTGCCCATTCACTCTGGGGCACGATGCAGCTCCTCCGGAGCGAAGGCGTGGTCATGCCTTGGTCACACTCGGGCCGATGACGCCCCTCCGGGGCAGAAGATGTGCCCGTACTGCGCGTGTAGGTCACGCGCAGTAATCGTCATCCATCCAAACAGGCGGTAGTCCCACTCGGACGGCAGCCGGTACACGTCAATGTACTTCCACATGGCGTTACTGCGCCACTCGCCCCACGCGCGTATCCGCCCCTCCGGCACCTCCAGCAAGTAGCAGGCACTGGCGCCCCCCACGCGAAGGCCGTGATGATCGAAGGCTTCGGGCGGAGGG